GAATTCGAATTAAAGCGCGACCCCAGGCGAGCGACACATTTTCCGGAGGAGACCAAGACAGACGCGACCCTCTCCGGAGCGTGGCTGGTGAGTCAGGCGGCAGCCTGCGCCGTACAAGTGTGCACCTGCGCCGGCGCCAGCAGCTGTATCGCCGGTCGTCTTTGTGGGTGCGGTGCACGATGACGACAACTCCCCTCCACGAGACACACGTGGGCCACACCTGTGTCGATGGCAGCCTCCTGGGAGACCGCGACCGGTGGAGGACAGCAGTGGGTCTGAGGGAGGCAAGCATGGATCGAAAGAGGGATTAACTACACAAAGGTGGAAATGAGAGTTCAAATGTGAGTACGGAGAGACAGCAGGATAGGGGAGGTAGAAGGCAAGGACGAACCGGGGAGGGAAATGAGACGAGGGTAGTAGTGGACGGGGGTGGGTAAAGTTGGCGTGACACAACGGGCACGTTTCCATGAGAGAAAGTCAACAGCGTAATCAGTCCAATGAAAGTTGATGTGGTCGCCACCGCTCCCGCAATATCCACATTCTCCACTAATAGACTACGAGAATATGATTGACCGTAGGACTAGAATTGACTGAGCGGCAGAGACAGACAGTTAATCAGAGAAACAGTTTAAACGAGCCCGCATGCAATGATGATCCGGGAACAGGGGTGAATGGAGGAGCCTGCTGACTAGCCAGGGGCAGTGGGGCGGACCGGGGGTCTGGGGTGTGGCCCGGTGGCCAGGCACTGGCGCAGCTCTGACCTTCTCCGGCCAGAGCTGGTAACGACGCAGGAGGAACAGGACTCTGCCCGGGGCGTCTCTCCCGGATGGGCCCTTGGTGACGACCGCAACTTCGGCCGTGCCCGTTCCAACTCCACTGTTTGGCAAACTTGGCTCATAAGCGAACGTCAGGTCGCCACAAAGAGGATTCGCGAGTGCTTAGAATGCATGGTTACCACCGTCGAAACGGAACTTAAGACCACGTGGTGAAAATAAACAAAGCGGAGCGGGCTTAGTGGGAAGCAGATACCTGTGCGGCGAAAATGAGCAGGGGCCCTCTCACGGTCCATCAACGCGGCGCTGGTGAAAACGAAGAACCTACAGACAGTGGGCAGCTGATGACGCCAATAACGTCATTGCATTTTAACTTCTCCTCCCAAAACTACAGAACATGCGAGCTCATCGGAGCCATCGCTCTGCTGACGTAAAAGTACGCCGGCTGTTGCCTCGTCCTGACCAGTCTCGCTCCTCTCTGGCCCACGTGACCCACCTCTGCTCCTGTGCCGGTGCTGGTCGGTGGTGATGACCGAGCTAGGCTTCATCCTCAGTTCCGGGTCCTCTTTCACCTTGACATTCTCCATTTGGCCTGCGAAATGAAGAACTGTTCGTATTATCTGCGAGAAGCTGACACGCTGAAAATGCAACGAGTATCACACTACCACCAGTGCAGAGTATGCCTAACCGGTCCTGGAGACAGGCTCACTCATGCCCGAGGCCAAAATAACTTTTAGGTACTGAAAATGGTGGATTACACTAATTGTGCAGCAGGCTTGAGCGAATCTACAAGCAAAATGAGAAAGAACGTTGACCATATGTGCCAACCATTCACGCTCCCCAAAGTGAGTCTGCGTTCGGCCCCACACAATTGCTTTGTTTTCATGGGTTTCACATTTGTTTTTTTAGATTCACCTACAACTTCAACACTGTCACTTCTCCGGCCGGTGTCCTTCACGAATGCCCCGGATGTAGTGAAGCTCAGCGCTGGTGGCGATCGTAACTTTTCGTCGCCACAGGTGAAACATCGATACCCAGAAAACCATGGAATTCCTCAAAGCCCGCGCCCCTGTCCAGCTCACCATAGACTGTCCCGCCAGACAGCAATGTAGTGCGGTATAGTCTATAGAACCGTGGACGTGCGGCCTAGCGACAGGAAAACAAAACAGCCGTAAGGGGAGGCGCTACTCGCGGTGTGAGGTTCATGGCCCCAGGACTGCGGCATGTAGCGTGGATGGCGGATACAACCGTAAGGGGAGGCGCTACTCGCGGTGTGAGGTTCATGGCCCCAGGACTGCGGCATGTAGCGTGGATGGCGGATACAACCGTAAGGGGAGGCGCTACTCGCGGTGTCAAGTTCATGGCCCCAGGACTGCGGCATGTAGCGTGGATTGCGGATACAACCGTAAGGGGAGGCGCTACTCGCGGTGTGAAGTTCATGGCCCCAGGACTGCGGTATGTAGCGTGGATGGCGGATAAGCCTTCCAAATTGCAAAACTATGTAAGATACGACGAGGCTTCCTATACCAGAAACATATGCATAAACATATGCAGAATGACATTCTTTCCCGCATGCCCTCATAACGTTAATGCAAAAGGAGACGATCGATCACAATCCAATAATATTTAGGGTTTCCATTGAGATTTGGTATCCTCGCATGGCGTCCGACGAACGCAAACGTTGGAAATTTGGCAGCCATATTCCGCGCCCCACCCGTTCACTGTTGTGCAATGGCTCACCCAACATTTCGCCCAGGGCGTAAACCCCACCAAGGTAGTTCTGAATTTGGAAGCGAGCCCGGCAAGAGACTCAACCACTGTGACTTCAGCCCCAGGGGTCCACGGCTTCCAAGGGGAGCGACGGCTCCTCTGGGTCCGAACCCATCATGACCGGCTGGATGCACGCTCCTTTCAAACGGAGCGGCCCCGCCGGGACCGGCTCTAACCGTCTCCACTAGCAGCCTTTCGATTTCCTCCGCCATTTTTCAGCCTGGAAACACAATTGCGGCGGTCGCATCTGGCTGGGCCACAGGGGCGTTCCATCTGGCAACGATCGGGTCCGGCGGCAGCAGATGCTCCGTCTCCCCCCCCCCCCCTGCCCCCCTCCCCCCGCCCGCCCGGCACACCGGAACGACACCCGTTCGGTCTCTGCCCCACGGGGCATCAGCTGGCAACGCCGTCTGATTAGATGAGTTGCCATGACAACGGCCCGGCACGTGCAGCTGAGCACCGTGCAACATCTGGCCGCGCGGCGCCGGCCGTGATGACGTCACGGCGGATTATCCGCCGGTCGGCTGGGTGACCGGCGACCGGGCCGAGCAACAGGTCAGCAGGGATGGGTCACTGAAGCACGGGTCAGACGGCTGGCCGGAAGGTGGCAGGTCAGACGAGTGCAGCACAGTGGACAAAACGAGTGGATTTAGTTCTTTTTGCATGCACGGGGGTCGGCCACAATGGGATACGTTATGTGACGCGATCGAGAATGGGCACGTGAGGGGCGGGTGGGCCGCAGGGAGCAGCTCAGGTGAGAAAAATAAGAGAGGACGGGTGAGAAACGCAGAATTAATGCGGCGGTCGGATAGGAGAAAAGTGATATGAGAACGTGTCAAATGAGCCCAAGTAGCGGAGTAAACTGTAAGGCAGGACGTAATTATGTCAACCATTTTATGATCCGTCCATCCACATTTCGTCCGTTCGGCCACCTGCCTTCTGACTCACTCACCAGTGGCGGGCTGGGTTCAAGTCGCTTTAGGCGCTTGCTATTTCCCCTCACTGGCATGGCCGGCGGCCGCTGGCAGCGGCCACGCTAAAGGTCAGGTGACATCAGAAGGCAGGGAGGCCCGTGCCAAGCATCGGGGCATATTACGCTTTCGCCACAAATTTTTGCCATTGATCCGGAATTTCGCGATTGACTGGCCGGCATCGGATGCCAGAAATCACGCGCCAAGCGCTGCCTGACGTGGGCGTCAATATCAAACATCCATGCATTTATAGCAATCGGACTCGATCTTTAACAAGAGCAGCGCGGACTAGCCAGCCACGTGACTGCCGTGTGCAGCAGCCCTGGAGCGCAGACACGCCGCCGGACATACCATCCCTGTTGATAAACACTGCTACATCACGCCTAGATATTAGTCTCAGAGACTTCAGCCGCAAGAGAGAGTTGGAGGGACCGCCCGGACGCGCCGCCGCCGCCAGCGCGCACCTGACGCCAGTCGATCCTGAATACCAGACTTAGACGACAAAAGGCATGGCCGTGTTGTTCTGTAGGACGGACGCGTTTCTCTCCGTGGCCCCGGCGCTGCCGACAGCGCCACACTATCGCGCCAATGTCGCGGTCGTAATCGCCAGCCGCGCCGCCGCTGGAGACCGGCAGTACATCCCCGACCACACTGCCGGCGTCGACAACCAGCTCCGTCGTCCCCCCCCCCTCCCCCTCCCCCTCCCCCCGCCCCGATGACGGATGACCGGCCGGACGCCGGAGGGTCTTGTAGTTACGTCCCACGTCCCGTGGCGCTCCCCTCCGCCCGTCCCCCCCCCCCCGCCCCCCCGCCCAAACGCCAGCGACGGTGGCAGGACGTCTCCGCGCGGGGGCGGCTGGGTTACATATTTATAACCGGTCAGTATCAGAGGAGCTGGCTCGGACACGAATAGCACCCCACCTGGTCCCGCCGAACACCTGCAGCGGCGCCGTCATTTGGCCCGGGCGGTCGCCGCCCTGCCCCAACCCCTGCGGGACCACCAACGATTTGGCCAGGGTAGGTCCTCCTTTCGCCCAAACCAGCACGTGGTGGCGGACACCACGGGGCACGCCTTTGATCAGCCAGTGTCCACAGCCGCACGTCTGCATGTGGTGGTAAGTGTGTAGTCAGGGTAGGTCCTCCACGCGCCCAAACAGGCGCGTGGTGGCAGGCGCTACGGGGCACGCCTTTGATCAGCCAGTGTCCACAGCCGCACGTCTGCATGTAGTGGTAAGTGTGTAGTCAGGGTAGGCCCTCCACGCGCCCAAACGAGCGCGTGATGGCAGGCGCTACGGAGTCCTCTCGACATCGACATCGACTCGACTCGACATCGACAGACGCGCTGATACGATGCCTCTGACCGGCCGGTGTTCATAGACACACTACTACTGCATGCAGTGGCAAGTGTGTAGTAAGTGCGTATTACATGATGCGAGTCGAACTTGAGTGTTGTCGGCCTGTGTCCCAGTGTTTTTCTTGCCAAAGTTATGGCCCCTAGGCGCAGCCAGGACAATGAAAAGAGCAAGCTTGAGCAAAATATTTGTGATGCGAGCACCAATTTGTTTGACGTAACGCATCTATTCTGAGGTCAATTATTACAACAGAACTCGCGCATTTACATGTAGATGCAACATCGATTTTGAGACCAGCATAATTGCCTCTCACGTGTCTACTAGCTCGCGTGATCGTGTCCTGGTACGCGCTACAAATCGGTATGTAGCAGAGGCGGCGGTGAGTTCCATAACGTAAACATAAACTGAAAGCTGTTCAAAACGGCAAGATCCGGTACATAACAAATCAGAACATGCACCTGAGCCCCTACAGGCGCGTACATCACATGCATATAATGAATGAGCACCTGGTGAGGCAAATGCTACACACCTGCTCACAACGTCTACTACATATAGATGATTACACAAACAAAGAGCCCGACTTGCAGCGCGCTAACACATGGCTGAACGAGTGTGACCATGCCACCAACATGAGCCTCTGACCATGCCACCAACATGAGCCCCCATCTCCCCGTGTTATCCGACACCCGGTTCCTGATGCCCAGAGCTGGGCCACAACATTCCAACGGCACTATCATAACGTTGCGCCGACTGGGCAAGGGCTCTCTGGCATCTGACACGTGCCCGATCAGCACACGGTGGCCGGGAACGAGAGCCGGGTCGCACAACTCCGGGCGACACAGAACGAACGTCCGGAGGCAGCTGTCGTCGGCGCGTCGGTGCGCAGCGTTGCTGGCTGGCATAACCGCACTGCCGCGCAGAGCGGCTCAGTGCGTCAAATGACGTCACAGAAGACGACCATGCAGCGCCCGCAGTCGGAGTCATTCGTTGCTGGCCGAAATTCTCTTGGGCGTCAGTTCGGCACATTTTATTCTCAGTTTGCATCAGGCAGACACCATTGTTAGAGACCCAATTCAGCAGCATACTGGAATGGGGGGGGGGGATCATGCGAACCCCTCCCCTCCGGCTTTTCCAAATCACTAAAGGTCTAGCTTAGCGGAAAGCCTGTGCATTGGCCTCAAGAAAACTCGCGATTTGTAATATATTCTCTGTTGTTGGGCCGCCAATAATTGACCTTATCATGGCAAGTCAAAGGCTAAGTTTTCCAGAAAATCGCACTTTTTCAGCTTTTCAACATCATACCTACGAGACCATGCCTTGTGGCGGTACGACACTTTAACATACGTGTTTCTTGTTCAATCTGAGTGCAATGACGTACGCTTTTATGTGTTTCGAGCATATATTTGTGATATATGGCTCCATTAATGTAACAATGTCGGCCCTACGCGTGTGTTCCGCGGTATCGCCAGTTGCCGCCCACCCGCCTGCTCGGGACGTAG